CGAACGAAACGAGCGGCAAACGTGTGTAAAGTCAGCCGCTTGCCGTCGAAATTCGATGCTCATTTTCCGTCGCTTTTTCTTCTTCCTTCTTCTTTTTTTGGTCGGATCTGGAACTTTTGCGCCTTATTACACCCTCGCCGCCCTCACGGCCAATTTCCGTTCCAGACTTTCCAGTTTTGAATCGCGGACGAAATTTCTTCCTGTGTTTAAAAAATTAGGAAAGTTAGGAGAATTGAGGTTTTTTGATCTCATCAACAAGATTTTGGCCTCAAAAATATCTCGGAAAATTTTTTTTTTCCGGCATCTAAAAAATCAGAAAAATCAAGAAATCAAGCTTTCACAGCTTCTGAAAAAGTTAGCCTAGGATTACATTTAATTTTATGATTTTCAGGTATTTGAAAAAGGTAAATTTTTGGTTTTACTGCCAGATTTTGATGATTTCCTCTCATTTTTTCGACATTTTTTCGACAATATTCGTTATTTGGGTTACTGTAACAGAACTTCTGTAGATAAGTGATTCTCGAAATGAATAAATATTTGGAAAAATCTTGATTTTTGAATTTTTTTTTCGTTGTAATTTTTCAAATTTGGGCCATATTATGGATAGTTTAAGGTCAGTAAAAAAATATTTTTCTGGATCAAAAAAAAATTTTTTTGACTTTTTTTTTGACTTTTTCCCACCTGACAACATCAACACATAAACAGTAGTCAAATAATAAGCAATTTCTTTTCTTAAAAAATCAAAAAAAGTCATGAAAATCATGGACCTTCATGGAAGAATCTCAGTTGGACCTCACAAAAATGATTCTTCATAATATTTTTTTAATATAAAATTAACTTCTCTTTTTCTTTATTTTTTTATTTATTTTTCAACAAATTTTTCAAAGCTTCCCGTTATAAACATCTGAAGGAACATGCAAAACATTGACTTTACAACGGCCCATTTTGCCACGGGAACGAAAATTTTCGCCCAACAGCTGTTGGGTGGACGTTTGGGAACTACGGATAGTTAGAGCCGATTTTTAAAGAAATAACTAGATTTTCAATTTTTCACACCGAAATTTATTCTTCAAAAGAGTTTTCCAACACTTCTTTTACAGATAAAATTTTTTAAAGTGAGAAGACTGAAGAAAAACTCATTATTTTTTCTATTTTCAAGTTTTTTTGAAGTTTTTTTTTGTGTTTTTCCTTCTCAATTATTGAAAAAGTCTCTGTGAAAGAGCTCTTTCGAGATTTCGGTGGGATTTTTCTGAAAATTGACTTTCAACGGATTTTTGAATTTTTCGTGGTTCCTGGGGTATAGGAAAGTTGAAAAACGATAGTGTAACCGATTTTGAAAAAAAAAGTGGTTGAATACGACGAATATGTCCTTTTCAGCTCTCAGAAAATTTCTGGCTTTCTTTTTCATAAATCGGTGTTTTGAGCCGGGTTTCCAAGTCAAAAATCTAGTGTAAAGATCCCTAGAACTTTTTTTTTTCTTAAAACTTGTCAAAGTCTTCGAAAACATGTTTCTGGAAGCGAAAATGTTGATTTTTGCTGTAAGTTTACGGTGAAAATCGACATATAGCTGCCAAGAAAGTGCTTTTTTTCGGCTTAAGCTCCTTGAAACTTGATTCTATCAACTTTTAAGTTAGAATTATCGATAGTCAAAAACTGTGCACTCCAAAACTTCAAAAATCATTAGAACTAACTTTTGATCGCCAAAACGCGGCTCAGAAGGATGACTCTGACCCTTTTTCGAGCGATTTTTACGGCGCCTGAAATGAAAAAAAATCGAGTGTTAAAACTCTTTTTTTGTTTTTTTTTTGGAAAAAAATGTCAAGGTCTTTAAAAAAAAGTTGCCGGAAGCAGAAATACTGACCTTTGCTTCACAAGCTTTAAAGTTTTTTTTTTTCAAAACCTGATACTTTGAGATAGGTTTCCTATAGTGTTAAGTCAAAAATCGAGTGTAAAGATCCCTCTTTCTAGAATCTGTCTCTTCTTGAAAAAAATGTAAAAGTCTCCAGAAACATGTTGCCGGAAGCAATAATCTTAAGCTTTGCTTAAGAACTACTGTAAGATCTGACATATCAGATGTCAAGTTCGATAAAGTGTTTTTCTTTTTTCGCTTTAAACTTTTTGAAGCTACATTTTATTCAACTTGAGTATCGATATCCAAGAACAGAGCAGTCAAAAACTTTGGAACATGGTTAGAACTAATTTTCAATTGCTTGTACTTGGACAAGTACAAAACTCTAGGGGTTGGACTACAGGAATTTCGAGAAATAAGGTATAAAAACAAGTTTCAATGCCAGCTAGTGTAAAGTGACTTTTAACATTTGGAGCTGTAGTGATTTTTATCTACAAACATTTGGGGGGTCTTGGAAGGCATTAACAAGGGTCCGTCCATGGATGCGCAGTTCATTTCAAGAGTCATTTTTAGGCGTTTCGAGCGATTTTCATGCGTCTAAAGTCAAAAATGAAGTGTAAAAATCCCTAGAAACTCTAAAAAACATGTTTCCAGAAGCAGAAATCTCAACCATTGCTCCAGAACTACTGTAAGATCTGACATATCAGCTGTCAAGTTCGAGGAAGTATTCTTCTTCTTTTTTTTCGCCCTAAAGCTTCAAATTATTCAATATTGGTAACGATACCCGAGAACTGAGCTTCCAAAAACTTTGAAATAGGATTAGAACTAATTTTCAATCGCTTATACATGGGCAAGTACAAAACTCTAGGGGTTGGACTATAGGAATTTCGAGAAATGAGGTATTCTAACATTTTTCAATGCCAGCGAGGTAGTGTTGACAACCATGAAAGTGACTTTTAACATTTGGAGCTGTAGTGATTTTTTTGCCTACCAAGATTTGTGGGGGTCTTGGAAGGCATCAATAAGGGTCCGTCCATGGATGCGCAGTTCATTTCAAGAGTCATTTTTAGGCGTTTCGAGCGATTTTCATGCGTCTCAAGTCAATTTAAGAGTGCAAAAATACCTAGAAACTCTAAAAAAGAGGAAATTTACAAGGCATCAGCAAGGATCCGTCCATGGATGCGCAATAAAAAGTCATTTTTAGGCGTTTTGAGAGATTTTCATGCGTCTCAAGTCAATTTAAGAGTGTGAAAATCCCTAGAAACTCTAAAAACATGTTTCCGGAAGCAGAAATCTCAACCATTGCTCCAGAACTACTGTAAGATCTGACATATCAGCTGTCAAGTTCGAGGAAGTGCTTCTTTTCCTTCCTTCTGCTTCCTTCTGCTTCCTTTCTTTTTTCATAACGTGTCCTCGTTTTTCATTCTCACTGGATTCCAACGGCGCCTCGTGGATTCCCTTGACGATTTCCTCATTTTTATGCCGACGATTCCATTTAGCCCCGCGTTTTGGCTCCCTCCCCGATTTGGCCATTTGATTTATTCCATTTCGACGCCTTATTTATTTTTTTTCTCTTGTTTTTCATGCAGTGAGAGTATTCTTAAGTGGCCTCTTGGGACAGGGTATTGAGTTGGGTTTGAGGAAAAAAATAAATATATTTTGGGGTTTTTTTCTTGCTACTTGATGAGGTCTGGTTTTTTTTTTTGAAAAACGAATAGTTCTCTGAATTTTTTGATCTACTGGAAATCTCAAGAAAGTATGTTGATTGATAACATTTTAGTATAAAATAAAAAAAGATTGGACTGAAAAATTCAGCAAAAAAATTGATGAACCCCAATGAAGTTTCGCTGATAAATTATATTAACCCGGAGGATTCAAAAAATCTGCATTTTAGCTTTGAAGAGCGTATTTCCATTGAAAAAATGAACAGGAACTACTACGAATTTTTATCAGCGCCCAGAAAAATCTGAGCTTTTGCGCTCCATGGACAATTTTTAGAATATTTTATTTTTTTCAACCGTTTGTCGTCCCTCAAGCTCAAGGACTTTTTCAATTAAGACTATTCAATCTCCAAACTTTATTTTGAATATCTTTTATTCCGTCTTTATTCACCTTCTTTGCACATTATACTCTCGTTCCACCTGCGAACAAACATATAAATATACATATAATTTTATGACTTTCTCATTCTGAATATCATTCCTTTACAAAATCCCCAAAACAAAAAAACCTAATTATTCCCTTTTTTTCAACGTAATCTTTTTTTGGCATCTACTCACTTGAGTGGCTACACGGCTTCCCACGGCGTATCCGTTTACTTCTTCAACTATTTTTTTATTTTTATTTTTCTTGATTTAGCACGTTTTTTTGTTGATGCTTTTAGTATTGAAATTGATTTGAAGCAAAAATTGAAAAAAATTAATGTTTATTCAATCTTCAAATCATTATAAAAAAATCCGTAACTTGGAATTTTTTTGTGCAAAACGATGAGTTTAAAGCGAAAATTGTGAGCGTTTTTAGGTGAATTTCGAAACTATTTATGTAATAAAACTAAGTTTTTTTAAATATTTACAGTGGAACGACCTTTTTCGAGGACTAAAATTTTTTTCTAAATTTTTCAAAAAAATTAAAAGGTTTTTTTGACTGGGAAATTTTTTTCAATTATTTAGGTTGTATTCAAGAGAGACGAAAAAAATTTTTCGTTTAATTCGAAAAAAATTTCAGAAAAACTTCAATTTATTTAAAAAAATGTCCCTGAAGCTATCTCTTACTTGTTTGATTAGAGCGACCTTGCAAAGAACCTTCATTTTTATTTCCAGGTTTTTTTCATTTTTTTCTCTCGCTTTCCAGCTTCAAACTCTGTTTTCTAGGTTTGACTAACATAGTTCAGCAGAAATATTATTCAAATAACTTTTTCTGAACCTCAAAACAAATGATTTGAATTATTTTTGTTCAATATTTCCTTTCCTCGGCTATAACTTCGTGTTTTTAATCACTATTAACTTCGCATTTTTAATTACTATTATTTCTTAGTATTTTTCAAAGTTTTTGAAGTTCCATTTTTTTCAGGGACCGAAAAAAAGTCATGCGGATGTGAGGTCTACGAATAGTTGAGGAATAAATTGACGACTGAAGAGATTTCTTCTGAAAAATGCCGGAGGTATGATTTTTCGGAGTTTAGTGGAACATTTAAAAAATGGTTCTGAGTGAGAGGTTTGATGAAATTTATGTGGATAGAAAACTCGGATTGAATCAATCAAAAATTTTCGAGTCAAAAATTCCGGGCAATTCAAAAAACAACTATTTTCTTTTTCTTCAGGAGTCAAATTCATTTTCTAAAAATTGTAAATCTAGCTCAGAGGGAAATTCCGAGTGAATTTATTGGGAAAATTCCGTTTCAACACTCTTCCAACGCAAAATTACTACAGGATTTGCTTTTCATCCTTTCCTTTCAAGTATTAAATCTAGCTTCGGGAGAAATTTACGGTTTTATCAACCAAGTCTTACGTCTTTGAATAATTTTAGTGGAATAAAATTTTGTTTTCAACGATTTTTTAGTTCGAAAATTTCACAAGAATCGAGTTTTGTGGGATGATTTTTGATTTTTTCAGCTTCAAGTCCGTTCTACTCTTTAAATATTGCATTAGAGATGAATTAATTGAAAAAAAAAATTATTTTTAATCCTATTTCAATATAAAGTTATTACAAGAATCGTACTTGTGCGATCACGATTTTTTTCATGCCTTAAATCAGTTCAAAAAGCTTCAAATCTGGTTTTTGTGCGAAATTCGAGGCTTTTTGTAATTTTTTTGAGTTTTTTTAAAGTCTGGAATATTAAAATTCAAGTTCTGAAATGCGAGAAAACCGGTGAAAATTCTCGAAATTCTGGCTGTTAAATCTTTTAAAAAAAGCGTAAATATTCATATTATACTGTTTCAATTAAAAAAATGTTTCTCGAAAAAAAGCGGTTGACGTACTGAAATCCAACCTAAAATCATGCATAATTCCCAAATCTGGAAATAAGATCTCATGCAAATCGCCCATTTTTGAAAGAATCCCAATTTTCTGCCGGCAGAAAATTGGGCGCCCGTCAAAGATAAATCTCGACATTTCACACCATTTTCTTCTTTTTCCCCTGCCCGATTTCGAAATTTTAAAAAAACCAGTCATTTCTACGCTTCAACAGTGTCATTTATTCCCTTAACAGTCATAAATGTTCAATTTTAGCGTTCTGTTCGCAAATCTTATTTTCGATGCTTGTAGGATTTAAATAAGTCAAAAAAGTTCCATTCTGAATACAGATTAATGGAATTTTCAGTGTTCTTTTTCTTAGAGCTTTATAGAGCTTTATAAATGTGACGTTTCGCTCCGTATCGGGTGTTTTGGCTGCGCATCAGCTCTTTCTTTCTCAAAAAGCTTTTTTTATAAAGTTCGACCAATTTTTCTGTCAAAAAAGCAGCCTAACTTAGAAATTCCAGAGTGGTCCCTCTAGGGGTTAGGGGCCGAAAAAGTGGTCCCTTTAGGGGTGGACCCCCTATGAGTTTAGAGTTTGATCCCTTAACCACAAAGCCTAAGTGCTCACTATAGGGGTCTTTCAATTTCATTTAAGAACGCTTTTGATCAATTTTCGCTTGGAAATGCGCAAAAAGTACATAAAAATATTGACTAGCATGTCCCCCGTAGGGTCCACTAACTAAAACCCTTATAGGGACCACTTTTGCAAGCTTTAGTGGCCCCTATAGGGGTGGTAAAGTGGTCCCGAAAGGGGCCCTCCAAGGGCTTTTAGGTTTGCCCCTATAGAGACCACTCTGGAGTTTCTAAGAATCGTATTTCGCTCCGTATCGACAATTTTGGCTGCGCATCAACTTGTATTCCAGTAAAAAGGAATCTTTGACAGAAATCTGAATTTATTTAGAATGGTGAAAAGTATTCTAAAGAACTGATCCAGCTTTCTTAAGGACTTTTTGAGCATCTCATCTTCGAATTTGACTGCGCATCAACTCTTGAAATCACTTGGGCTATAAAAAAAGGATTTTTTAGACGATTTTCAAAAGTTCAAATGATAAATAGTATTTTTCGTCGGGTAAATAAATTTCAATGAATCGGAGTGTTCCTCAAAATATTTCTCAAACTGAGTTTTTGATAATTCAAAAAACTCCTCAAAAAAGGCCCCATATTCTTTTGTTAGTTTTCTTTTTGAAAAAAGAGAAAAAGAAAGATAAACGAGCAGGACGGAATGTCGTTGGTTTTCCCGTGGGGTTGAACGGGGGAAATGTCAAAAATGTTCGGTCTGACAAGACTTTCCCATTGTTCTATTTTTCACGCCATTCACACTTCTCCGACTTTTTTTTGGAGATTCCTTTTCTTGGTTCAAATTTATAATGGGATTTTTTTAACAGCTGTATGAATATATTAACAATGGAAAATTTCAAAATTTGGTATCACTTCAGATTTTTTTCTTGAGTTAACTCGATACAACAGCTCTGACCTCACTTCAAATGGAAATTTTCTTTTTTCCGGCTCAATTTTAAACCTTATTTTTTATTTAAACAGCGACTTTTGAAAAATATGAAAGCCCTATGAACATATCAACAGAAGAGATCTTGAATTTTGATGTATTTCTGATTTTAACTCAAATTAACCAACTTGATAAAAAAGGTCCCATAATGGATTTTTCAATAGCTCTATGAATATATTAACAATGAAAAAAATCTCAAAATTTGGTATCACTTCAGATTTTTCTTGAGTTAACTCGATACAACAGCTCTGAATTCACTTCAAATGGAAAATACTTTTTTTTTGTTCGGTTCGAATTTGAATGTTTGTTCCTTATAATTGAGTTTCAACAGCTCTATTTTCATATTTAAACTGAAAAACTTAAATTTTGGTATCATTTTGAATTTATCTCGAGTTTACTCGATAAAAAAGCTGTGACCCTTTTTTGAAATGAAAATATTTTTATTAATTATCAAAAATTCAGTTTTTGATGATGTTTTTCTGCATAGAAGCCATATAGAATCAGAATGTTCACTTTGATATTTATTATGCCTTTTTTTAACTTAAACTTTTTATATCAAATAGTGGTTCCACAATTATGAGAAATCATTTAAAAAAAAAAACGAAGTTTTATGCCTCAGATCGTCTTTTTTAGGGCGTGTTTGAAGTATTTTTCGATCCTACTCGGAATTTTTATTACTTAATTTTTGATTTTTTGAAATTAATTTAGACCCTTTCGAATCTTCGAGGGCTAGTTTTCGGAATAGACATGTGATTTTTCATATCAAGCCTTTTTTGAAGAGAAAAAATAACACGATACAGCCTCCCTAGGATTTAAAAAACAGAAGATGTGCGCCAGAGCGTCTTTTCATGGTGTGTGTGTTGATTTTTCAACAGTTTCGCTCTTCAAATCTTGTTCTTTGGAATAAATTTCAGTTTTTTTCTTTCCAAAACTTTTTTTGTTATGACGTCCTGATTGATTGAAGTGAAACATTGGGGGCGGCCGAGGGCTTGTCAAGAAATTGAAAACGGGCGGGCCGGCCCTGGGGAAATATTAAGAACGATGTTCAATATATAGGATCCCCGTTCCAGGGGAGGCTTCGACGTTGAAGTTTCTTGGTTCTGAGAATCTTTTTTTCTGGATTTTTTTCTCTAAAATATTTTTGATTTTTTTGTTGGAATGGACTCTAACGAAAAAAATTTTTTTCATTTGAAGCTTTGTTTTAAGAAAAATTTTTTTCAAATCATCCCTCTTTTTTTAAATTTGTAAGGAGTCTAAAAAAAGGATAAGCTTCTGGTGGTAGCTATAAGTGATCTAATTTTTCGAACAAAGAAGAAAAAAATATAATTTTAAACTAAATATTGCTTATCACTGTTCTTACAGCGCTTCATGGGAATTGTAAGCCTATTTTTTTAGTTGTATTATTTTTTATCGAAGTTTTAAAGCTTTATTTTCAACTTTTGCGCTCAGCCGCGTCGCATAGCCGAGTCGCAAAAATCTAACATTTTTTTGAGATCCTCCAAGTAGCTCCAAAGTTTCTGAGTGTGTAGTTGTGAAGGAAAATGATTAAAAAAAGTTTTTTTTTCCAATTTTCTCAGTCGATCCTCAAAAAATTCGATCTCCAGCCGATTGGAACGATCTGAGAGTCTTACATTTTTAGAAATTTTTTTTCATCATCAACGCTTGCTCTCAAAATAAAAACGAAATTCGGAAGGCCCCTGATCTTTTCATTCTTCTCGTCTTTTTGCAATCCGAGCTGCGGCATAATTGCGGCAAACGAACCCGCTTTGCACCACCACGACGGCTTCCGGTCTTTTCGAAGATTTCTGTCGGATTTTTTTCCCATCCCGCCCTCAATGTTCAAGCGTTCCTTCTCGTCGGAGCTTCTTCTGGATTTTCTGGACCAGCTGGAGATGTCGTACGGTCACGAAGTCGTCCACTACGCCAGGACCGAGGAGCACGATCTCTACAGCTTGTTCCATGGGAAACCCCAACTCTGCAAGGCCAACATTCGGTTCAGCACCATGCAGGTTGAGAAAATGACTGTGTTTTGGAGATTTTGAGCTTTTGGTAGGGGTATAACTTGTATGGTGAGAGGAGAGCTCCCTCCCAGCTTTTTTTAAGCAAAAAAATCAGCTTCTTGAAGGACTACCAGCCAAAAAAAATGAGCTTGAGAACTATTAAAATTCTCAATCGACCTTGTGGCTGGATTTTTAAAGCTTTATCAAAGGGTAATAATGAAAGGTGTTTTTCAGGCAGTTAGTAAGAAAAAGAACTTCTTTTCGAGCTTTTCAAACACAAAATTATCCAGACTCAGTCTCTTAAAAGCCAAAAGGAGCTTGAGAGTTTTGAAGGTTATCGATTGACCTTTCTAGGTGCAGCTCATGGAAAGATGCAACTTCAAAGTTGAAAATTGAAAATTGAGGCTCTCTAGGCTAATATTTGCTTCAGAAACATACAGGTTGAAAAAATGGCTGTGTTTTCAAGATTTTGAGGTTCTGATAAAGCTTGGCGAGCAGTAAGAAAATAGCCTCTTCCGAACTTTTTTAAAGCAAAAGTTTTGACTCAATCTCTTGAAATACGAAGGGTACTTGAGAATTATGGATGTTCTTGACTGACCTTTTTTTTTGTCTAAACGCGTTTTCAAAGAAAAATTAGGATAATCGTGGTTTTCGAGGCGATTAAATAAGTGACCGTTGTTTCGAGATTTTGAACCATCGGAGAGTGTGAAAACTTGGTTTTCAAGTCGAAAATGGCGACAAGATGATAACTGTGGAAATTCTGTACGTAGATTTTTTTTCCACAAGCAGATCTCATTCAGAACCAGGACTTTTCTTTTCTTATCCTCAAGTCTGTTCAATATAAACTCTAAACTTTCAGTTCCAAGACCGCCTGTCCTATATCGACAAGCGATATGATCACCTGCGGAAAATGACCCACACGTTGAGGAAGAAGGTCAATGAGCTTGAGGTGAGCGGCTTTTCGAAGTCATCCGCGGCAGCTTTTCACGATTTTTGCTTTTTTGCGGCCTACAGAACCCTTCCTTTCGATGCGCGTGGCCTGAATCTATGCATGCGCCTTTAATTTGACAAAAATTTGAAGTTAATTTTCATCCGAGCTACAGAACACCCCGGGAAGTCTTCCCTTTGATACACGTGACCCGTTTCTGTGCATGCGCCTTTAATAAAGCAAAAATAGAAGGCTAATTTCCTTCCGAGCTACAGAAACCTCCCAAGAAGTCTTCCCTTTGATACACGCGGCCCGGTTTTTTGTATGCGCCTTTAATAAAGCAAAATTTGAGGCTTATTTTCTTCTGAGCTACAGAACACCTCCGGGAAGTCTTCCCTTTGATACAAGCAGCCAATTTCTGTGCATGCGCCTTTAATTTAGCTCGTAGCTTCTGTTATATTAAAGGCGCATGTCTTGGGGGTCTCGAAGGGAATCGGAAATAATTTTTTAATTCTGTCCATTTTCTGAGAACTTTAGTAGCTTTCACTATGAGAAATATTCGGGAAGATTCAGATCGACTAGGAAAAAATTTGACGTAAGCTTGTAATCTAAAATAAGATTTACAGTGGATTCTACAAACACCCGAACAGCTAGATACTTTTTGTCAGTTGTAGTGGAAGACCTATTTTTTCCGACCCCAACTCCAAAATCCACGAAACTCGTAGGAAATCATGCGGCAAGACAACGACGAGGAGAACATGGAGGTGATCAAGAAGCTCCTGGACGAGATCAAGCGGGAGAAGCAGTTGATGCGGGACGAGGCCCACGTCATCCGCGGCGAGCTCTCCCAGGCCATGTACAACGAGGATCTTCGGTACGATCCCCCTCGAATAATCAATAAATCAATTGCCTTGAAAAAAACTAACCGTTTTCGAATAATTTTCCCATTTCTAACCTCTATCCACAGGTCGAAAATCCTCAACTTTATCGACCAGTTCGAGGATTGGTGGTACGACGAGTCGCAGTACGTAACAAATCGCTTTCTTGGTGTATTTTCTTAGAGAGTGTTTGTGTTCACACTTTGGCATGTTTTTGCACTGTTTTCGGCTACCGTAATACTTTGAACGGGTGATTTTTGAATTTCGAGCTTCAGTTCATTCATAACAACTTGATGAGGCACGAGGCCACGCCCTGCGCCTTTAAATTTTTTGAAGAGTTTGAATATGTTTATAGTTTATTTGGCAGCAGAAACTCGTACAAAACATCACGCCAGTTTTCGTGTCAGGATATTTTTTAGATTGAAGCCCATGCTCCTTTAAATTTGAACGACTTTTGAATTTTTGTGTTGGTTTTTGGGGACTGTATTGTACATGGAAAGCTATCAATTAGAAAAAATATTTTGTTAGTTTTTTTCAAAGTTTAAAGAAGCATCAACATATAAATAATAAATATCATGACGCGAAAAAAGAATTCTTGAAATTTACTCGTCTCAATCTTGCTGTGAATAAACTGAAAATCAAAGAAAAAGTGTAGAAAATAACATAATTTTATAAAATCCACGTACAACATTGCTTGCTTGCTTGCTTGTGCTTATTTTTAAAAATGCTGGTTTTTTTTTTTCGCTATTCTTTTTTTCCAAAAAAAGCTTGCTTCTTTGGAGTATGTGTCTGATTGGGGACCCGAAAAACAGAGTTTTGATAAACGAGCGAGAAAAAGAAGAAGGATACTTTGCGCTCTATGGATAAAGTTTTGGGGACAAACTCTCAGAAAATTTTTTTGAATTGTCAATCTTAGGAACTTGAAAGTGAACCCTATAGAAGCAAACTTACGGACCCTTAGAGGGCCCCTCTAGGGACCACTTTACCAACTCATATAGCGACCACTAGAGCTTGCAAAAGTATCCCCTAAAGGGGGTTTAGTTAGTGGCCTTCTATGGGGATATGCTAGTCGATAGTTGAAGACGCATTTCCATGGGAGAAACTGGAAAAAAGCCGTTTTTAAAAGAAATCGAGGGACCCCTATAGGGACCACTTGAGCTTCGGGAACTAAGGAATCAGACCCTGAACCCCAATAGGGACCACTATAGTATTACCCCAAGGGGATCACTTTTTCGGTTCATTCAAAAGTTTTTTCCCCTCCGAACCCCTATAGGGACCTCTCAGAAATATCTAAGGTGTCAAAATCCAAACTTTTTCTTGATTTTTGCTCTCAAACTCGGACCTCGGTAACCCAAACCGGACTTTTAAAATCATTTCTAGTGATCACTTAAGAGGTCTGAAGCTCCTAAAGTGGTCCCTAGAATTAATCAAAGGGGGGTTTTTCCATCAAAAGTCTATCATTAGAGCGCAAAATTCAGCCATTTTTCAGTTTTAATCAAACTGAAGCTCACTTTTCCGGGTACCTTAATCAGCTTTCACTAAAAAAGCCTTCAATGGACGGCAAGGTTGCAGGAAACGAATCGCGGGTGAATGGCGTCGGATAGAAGAAGAACGGAAAGCCGAATCCGAAGAATCCACGTCGACGAGGGACGACGACACGGCGTCCTCTTGCCGAGAAACCAGCATGTGACGTCATCTTTCTGTGTCTTCTGCATTCACCATTTGTGCTTTTCCCCGTTCATTCATTTGCTACAGTGTCCTCTTAGCTTTTTCGTCCTCATGGAGTTGCACAGGGATCCGATTTGAACCAAAAAAACGAAGATTATGAGATATAATAAAGATATGAATTCATTGGAAGTGTCAAGAAGGCAATCAGGGATCGAATTAGAATCAAAATATGAATCGAATGAGATAAATAGAATTATAAATCATCTGAAACTCTTAGGGAGGGTATTAAGAGTTCTTTGAAAGTCTTAAGAAGAGAATAAAACAAGAAAGTCCTAAGGAGTCCTACAGGGAAAAAAGAAGTGAGATACAACAAAGAGATAAAAATCAAACCGGATGTCATTGAGAGAGAGGAAGACAATGACAAAAAACCGTTCGCCCCCCGTTGTAAACACGCATTTTTTCCCCGAGTAACATTACACCGGTCAAGCTTCTCTATAAAAGGAAGGAGAAGCCTTTGGAAAACCAAAAAAAGAAGAAGCAATGAGCGTCAAGTTTCTGGTAACGGCGGCCAGCATCGGCAGCGGATTAACCATCGTCGGCTGTCTTTTCGCCGTCGGATTCCTCTTCAACGACATCAACCAGCTCTACGACAACGTCATGGACGACATGCAGGAGTTCAGAGTGAGTCCTCTTGAGCAGTCATTCAAGAATTATCCCTTTCTAGGACGTCGCCAACAACGCCTGGCACGACATGATCCCCGTCACGAGACCGGCCATCAACGTCCACGCTCGCGAGCAAATCTTCGGTCGCAGCAAACGCCAAGCCGGCCAATGCAACTGCGGAGCTCAGCCCAACAACTGCCCGGCTGGACCGGCAGGACCTCCAGGACAGCCTGGAGCCCCAGGAGAAGACGGACATCCAGGAGAGGCCGGCAAAGCTGGAATCGCCGGAGTCGCCATCACCAGCTCTGAGGGAGGTAGCGGCTGCATCAAGTGCCCGGCCGGAGAGCCTGGACCAGCTGGACCCGACGGACAGCCAGGAGCTCCAGGACCTGACGGACAGCCAGGAGCCCCAGGAAACGCCGGCCAAGACGGACCCGCCGGACCAGCAGGACCCGCCGGAGACGCCGGAGCCCCAGGACAAAACGGAGCTGATGGACAGCCAGGAGCGCCTGGAAAGGACGGTCAACGTGGCAGCGGAGCTCCAGGACCAGCCGGACCAGCTGGACCAGCAGGACCTGCCGGACAGCCAGGAGCCAAGGGACAAGACGCGGCTCCAGGACAACAAGGACCAGCCGGACCAGCTGGAGCTCCAGGAGGCCCAGGAAACGCCGGTTCCGATGGACAGCCAGGAAGCGCCGGAGCTGCCGGTCAGCCAGGAGGTGATGCTGGTGAGTCAAACTTGGGATATTTCGGAAGATAATTGATCATTTTTCAGCCTACTGCCCATGCCCAGCTCGCTCTGCAGCCGTTGAGAGCGGAAAGCAATCCAGCGGATACAGACGCCGCTTCTCCAAGGTCGCTTAAGTGGCTCCTTCGAGAAAACACGATAATAAAGCTTTGCCTCAAGAGATTGTGGGATTTTTCAAGAAAAGAGATTTTGGCCTCTAAGACCTTTTAATGCTCATTTTTTGGAGCTGTAGAGTTTGCGAAAATATTTGCATCTCTTTGTGAACTTTGAAGAGAAAATCGGTTCTCTGTCCAATTTGAAGTTCCAAGCTTTTGTGGTAATAAAAAAAATCAAGGTTCATTCAAATCGAATCAATTTCTAAAACACTAATCATCATACAAAGAAGAAAAAAAAATACCTAGCAATAGATTTTCCAATGAGATCTGCACATCGGGAAGACAAGAAAATCACAGTAATCAGAACATTTTGAGCAATTTTGAGAGACCAGAAAATATAAACCGGCTTGTCGGGGCGATCCACACGTAGTGATTGAGCATATAGACGGCGATCCAGGAAATCTGAGAAAAGTTGAGAAATTCGGGTGATATTTCATTCACAACTAGCTTGAGAGTTTAAAGGAGCATGGGTGTATATTGAATATTCCTATGCGCCTTTGAACTTCCGATAAATTCAACTAATTTTTCATTGAACGCCTATTGAAGAGTTTAAAGTAGCATAGGGTTCTATTAATTACTCCTATGCGCCTTTAAAATTTTAAGGGAATTTGGCTGATTGTTCATTGAAAACTTGTTGGGGAAGTTAAAGGAGCATGAGGGTGTATTGAATATTCCTATGCGCTTTTAACTTTTCGCGAACAATCCATTATACGCTTATTGAATAGTTTAAAGGAGCATGGAGGTTTAATAAATATTCAAGTGCGCCTTTAAATTTGCGATAAACTTCGATAATAGTTCATTCACAACTAGAATAGAACTTTAAAGGAGGTTGGGGGTCTATTAAATATCCCTATGCGCCTTTAAACTTCCTATAAATTCAATTAATTGTTCATTGAAAACTTGTTGGAGATGTTAAAGGAGCATGGGGGTCTCTTAAACATTCCTATGCGCCTTTAAACTTTTGGGAAAATTCGATCACAGTTCATTAAACGATTTTTCAAGAGTTTAAAGGAGCATAGGGGTCTATTATATACTTCTATGCGCCTTTAAACTTCCGATAAATTCAACTAATTGTTCACTGAACGCTCATTGAAAAGTTTAAAGGAGCATAGGGGTCTATTATATACTTCTATGCGCCTTTAAACTTTCGAGAAGTTTCGCTAATGGTTCATTCACAACTAGCTCAAAATTTTAAAGGAGTATGAGGGTCTATTACATATTTCTATGCGCCTTTAAACTTTCGCTAACAGTCCATTATAAGCTTATTAAATAGTGTAAAGGAGCATGGGGTATATCGAAAGTCCAATGCGCCTTCAAAGTTTCGCAAAATTTCGCTATAGGAGATTCATTCAAAGATTGTCGGAGATGTTAAAGGAGCATAGGGGTCTATCAAATATTCCTATGTGCCTTTAAAATTTTGAGGAATTCGGCCAATAGTTCATTCACATTATAGTTGGATAGTTTAAAGGAGCATGTGTGTCTACTAAATATTCCTAGGCGCCTTTAAACTTTCATATAAAAATCATACCTGCATAAATACCAGCCAAAAGTCGCTGGGAATTTCCGCACGGCGCGACTCGCCGGGAAATACGCCAGTTTCATAAAACTCGGCCAGAAGTTTGTCCTGAGAAATATACAGGTTAGGGAAGAAATTTTGGAAGCTTTGAAAACTACAAGAGCCATAGAAAAATTCCATTGAAGGAAAAAAAAATCCGAGACCAAATTTGACAAAAAGTTTCGCTCGAATGGTGGCCAAAGGAGTTTTAAATAAATTTATGGGCTAAGAATTTTTTTTCAGCATTCTGTTTTTCACGGCACGGGAAAAAAGCGCGCGAATTCAAATTTTGAACATCCGGTCGAATATTGAATTCAAGCTTTCTGTGACTTTTCCATGAATAAAATGACTATTCAATATTCTCAGAATACAATAAAATGTTTTTTTGTAACACTAAGTTACAGTTCCGTGAGAAAAAAATTACGAAAAAATGCTTTTTTTATTTCTATTTTTTTGTATGTAGTTTGATCTTTCTGGAATCTTCTGTAGTTTTGCTGGCTGTCAGGTTCGCAGAAAAAAGAGCAGCTCAGAAAGTTTCAGGAAAATTAAACCTCATACAAGAAATTTGTGATGAAAAAAATAAATTATTTTTTTGTCAGTACTGGGAAAAATTTTTTTAGGGGCCACTATAGGGTTTTGACGTTTTAGTGGCCCCTATAGTAGTCAAATTAGAGGCCACTTAAGGGGTTAAAAATTAGTGGCCACTATAGAGGTCTAAGTGCTACTAATAGACCAGAAAAAATTTTTAGTGGCCACTTTAGGGATCAATGGATCAAAATAGCTGGACCAATTTGTTTGTTTTAAAATTATCAGAGTTACTGGAAGGAATACTGAATGAAAAACTACTAAAGTGGCCAATAAATAGAGAACCTCAATAGTGGCCACTAAAACGGAAAATAGTCGCCACTATAGTGGAGAGTTTAGTGGCCACTTTAGTGTCCTTGGTGAGCCTCTATAGGGGCCACTAAAAGTTTTCCCAGTACTGTGTTTGATCTTTTTGAAATAACCAATCAGAACCATGAAAAAAATCACCTTTTTGGAATATTGGGCAAAAAGGAACTCCTTGAGGCCTTCCTCGGTTGTCATTTCCGGGGTAATCGGTAAAACTTCGAGATGAACGGCGAACTTTTTCGAGTTCTCCAACGGCCAATCGCCCATCATTGCTTGGCCTGGGGATTTCTTAGGATAAAAAAAGAAGGTCTTCAGAAAATGAACCCATAGTTGGAACAACGCCTTTTTGATAGCCCAATGTGATGTCGACGACGTATTCCAAGGGGGGACCCTTTTGGCAAATCGACTTTTTTGGGTCGTCTAAAATCAGGAAAAATAATATTTCAAGTCTATTAAAAGTTACTTGAATCCGGCCCGATGGCTTTTAAAATAGCTAATGCGGCTCCCAATTTCGGATAGGCACAATTTTTCAGCTCTGGTAGATTATTTTTCGCCGAAAATCGGGCATTCGAATCTTTGATCAGGAAAAGTCGAGAGCCTGGAAATAAAAATGGTTAGTTTTCCTTTAAAAATAATTTTTCGACCACAAAAATTATGATTCTGGGAAAATTTTTAGTGGCCACTATAAACGCCAAGGACTACTTGAAAAGGACACTAAAGAGGCCACTATTTTCCGTTTTAGTGGCCACTTCAGTAGTTTTTCATCCAGTATTTCTTCCAGCAACTCTGATAACTTTAAAACAAACAGATTAGACCAGTTTTGTTGATCCATTGGCCCCTAAAGTGGCTACTAATTTTCAACCCCTTAAGTGGCCTCTAATTTGACTACTATAGTGGCCATCAAAAGGTCAAAACCCTAGAGTGGCCACTTAAAACTTTCCCAGTATCATTTCTAAATGGTCACTATTTTACGATGAAACTTGAAATAGGACTTTGGAAAAACGGAAAAATTAAAGAAACCAACCAATTTTTTTCAATTCCCTCCAGTTTCTACGTGAAAATAGACTTTCAATCTTCTAAAATTCCCGAAAAGGGTTTTTTCAGATTTTTTTTTAACTTTCTTCAACATACTAAATTTTTTATGAAGTTTAAAAAAGTTCAAAATTCCTAAGTTTTTCGCAATTTTGTTCCTAAAACCCTTACCAAAAAAACGTTCCCATATGTTTTTTTGGAGTTTCAATTTTTTTACCTTCCTACACAAACTACAGTTCAAATGAACTATAAAATTTCGATAAAGTTTTGAAATTTACAATTTTTCCTGCAACTTTTTTTCTTGAAACTGATTCAAAACCTTCCCATTTTTTTCACAAAGTTCAACTTTTTTCCGGGCCAAAAACTTAAACGAACCTTCAGGATACAACATGACCCATTCAAATTCGCCTTCATGATAGTGCCGGTCCATGTATTTCCTACAAAAAAAGTGTGATTTTTCGATCAGAAAGGTTTTCATTGCAGTCAAAATTTGAGAAGACCAAGTTCCATCAAGAAAAAAATTTACGTGATTCTACGATTTGGATTATTAAAATATTTGGAGCAAAAAAATATGAAATTTGAATCATTCTTTTATTTTTTAAAGAAGTTCAATTTTTTTCTTAAGCTTCACAGTGAGAACGACTCTACAGGGAAATGAAAAAGGCAGGTTCATGAAAACTTTTAAAAATATTTTTGTAGATTTTCCCCTTTTTTCAAATTTCATGAAGCTTTTCCCACCTTTAAAAGCAGCTAAAACGAACATAATGTTATAATTTTTCGTAAAAAGTAATCCTTAAAAAAAAGAGCCTAAAGCCTAAAAAATCATAAAATTTTGAGGAAAAATAAGCTGATTCACGGCTATCTCGAGTCATCGAAAAAAAGGTCCTGACACGATTTAAAAAAAAAATGAGATAGTGCCGAGTTTGGGGAGAGTGCAGACAGGCCACGCCCCTTCGTCATAAATCGCCTATAGTTCGAATTGATTTTTGGATCGATTATAACTTTTTTTCTCATATCGAAAAACCGACGTCATCTTCTTGAGGAAGGCCTCTCTTTGGTCCGGTTTGACGACGTTGACGAAGAAATTCCCGTGCAAATACCACGCCAAACCCATCGGAGTACACAGCCAGACATTGTAGATGATAAATAGCCACTAAAATTTGGCATTTCTCAAGGTTTTTCTTCCATTTTTTCAGATATGGATGACTAAACTAATTATGAAAGAAAAATGATGATTTAGAAAAAAAAAAATGATGACTAAGCTAATGAGCCAGTGAAGCATCTCTTGTGAGAGAAAATAACTTTAAAAAAAACTCTAGAGTCGTTAAGTAGTCCCTCAAGTGCTTTTGATGCCTCTTAAGTGATCCGAGAGAAAGAACTTCTTGTTAACATCCTACTGTCAAATAACCATTTTAGGAAAACTCAAGGGGTCTTTAAATGGGCCCTAGAAGGTTCCCCTCTAGGGAGCGCTTGACCTCCCCCTAAAGCGAGCTCTTTATCGTCCCTATCGAGATCGTTTGTTCCAAAAGTAGTCCCTCAAGTGCTTTTGATGCCTCTTAAGTTATCCTTTAGGGAGAAAATCCGATTAACCTCCCACTGTTAAAAAAAACGCAAGAGTGGCCTTTATAGGACCCTTGAACGTTCCCCTCTAGGGACCACTTGAGTAAATTCACCTCCCCCTATAGGGAGCTCTTTATCGTCCCCCTATAGAGATCGTTTATTCCAAATTATTTCTCTAGAGGCTTCAAGTAGTCCCTCAAGTGCTTTAGATGCCTCTTCAGTTATCCTTTAGAGAGAAAATCCGATTAACCTCCCACTGTTAAAAAAAAACGCAAGAGTGGCCTTTATAGGACCCTTGAACGTTCCCCTCTAGGGACCACTTGACATAATTTGCCTCCCCCTATAGGGAGCTCTTTATCGTCCCCCTATAGAGATCGTTTATTCCAAATCATTTCTCTAGAGGCCTCAAGTAGTCCCTCAAGTGCTTTTGATGCCTCTTAAGTTATCCTTTAGGGAGAAAATCCGATTAACCTCCCACTGTTAAAAAAAAAACGCAAGAGTGGCCTTTATAGGACCCTTGAACGTTCCCCTCTAGGGACCACTTGACATAATTTGCCTCCCCCTATAGGGAGCTCTTTATCATCCCCTATAGAGATCGTTAGTTCCGAAAGATTTCTGTAAAGGCTTCAAGTAGTCCCTCAAGTGCTTTCGATGCCTTTTTAGGGGTCCCTTAACTTTCGGTTAACGTCCTACTGCTAGAGTACCATCTCAGGAACGCAAAAGTTGTTCTTAAAGCAAGCTTTGAAGATCCCCTCTAAGGACCACTTTATCTATCCCTATAGGGATCTCTTTATCGTCCCCATATAGAGGTAGTTTGTTCCAAAAGATTTCTGTAGAGGCTTCAAGTAGTCCCTCAAGTGCTTTTGATGCCTCTTAAGTTATCCCTCAGAAGAAAACTCTTACCGTTATTGTACCACCTTGGGAACGCAAAAGTGGTTCTTAAAGCAAGCTTTGAAGATCCCCTCTAAGGACCACTTTACCTCCCTCTATAGGGATCTCTTTATTGTCCCCCTAACCCCTATAGAAACCACTCTGACGTTTTTATGATTTTGAGAAATAATCAAGCTAAATTCATAGAAAAAGCTTTCATTTTCACATTGAGTCATGAAAAAATCACTTGATGACTGAAATTTCCGACTAGAAATAGAGAGAATGAGTCATAAAACTACAAAATCGAAGACCAAACTACAAATTTTGGATACGAAACTCAAGAATATATCTGTTTTTGCTGAAAATTGAGCAGCTTCAAACTTTCTCACCCTTTTTTTTTCCGATTTTTAAGGTTTAAACCCCTGAATTTAGCCTGAATAAACGTATTTTTGATGATTTTGAAGTTCAAACCCAAAAAATAGTATTTTTCAATTATTTTGGTTCGAATATTCCTGTTCAGTCATAAGCCTAGACCTAAGAAAAGAGCCTTTTTTGAAGATCGTTACTTTTTTAAGTAAGAAGTTGTCTAAAATGATCAGACTACAGTAATCCATTCACAAAACGATACAGTACCCGGTCAGGAACTTGCTCGAGGTTGTGCAAGGCGGTCATGACGAGGAAATGGTCCACAAGACCCAGGTGATTAATTAATCCGAGGCAACGTTTTCTGGCATAATCTTCCAATCGAGCGCCATACATTGTAGCTGAATATAGCATATTTCTTTGTTTCACCAAGAATTTTTAGAAAAAGTTGAAGAAAAACAACGAAATTTCGCACTTTCCAGTATTTTCACTTTCAAAAAGTACATAATTCTATTGATCGCACTTTAAGAACCACCCCTCGCGATCTTATCAACAATCTCCACTTTCTTATCAGCCATAAAAAAACGGCTGTACCTTCCGCGGAGAAATATCTGGCGCACGTAACAAAGTGCGCGTTGCCCCATCGCGCCACAAGTCGTTTTCCAAAATGTTGAATGTTTTTGCTGAAAAAATAGACACCATTAGCGATAAAATCATATAAAACTTCACTAGAAAATAAAAAATTAAAATTTCGGCAAAAAGGCTACTGTATTCGTGAAAGTACACAAAGTGTGTATGCATACTCTCCAAACTACCGTGGCCATAAGAATTTCAAAAGTGACCACTAAGAATAACGGACGAGATAAACGCGAGCTCGGTGGCGGTACATTGACGAACTCGCAAAAATGTCGCATTTTTCTCGGCGCCATCTCGCATTTATCTTGCATTTCGGAAATTTTCAAATTGCGAGAGAAATGCGAGCTCGCGCCTAGAAATATGCGAGCTCGCGCCCAGACAAATGCGAGACCGGCGCGAGAAAAAAGCGAGATGTTTGCGAGCTCGTCAATGTACCGCCAGTGTCTCGCGTTTATCTCGGCAGTTCTTCTTAGTGACGATCCTTTTTTAATTTTTCATCTTCTCTTTATTTTATTTGTTGTTTTTCGATCTTTAAACTTGTTGGAACATTTTTAAGCGCTATATATTGCATTAGGCCTGGAAATTCATTGCAAAAAGAGCACTTAACCAACATTTTCAGTTTATATCAATGTTCTTTTCAACGACCCAGAAAGTATTTTTAAAATGATTCTAAGCAAACCTTATAAGAGAAAATGGAGCTAAGATTGCATAGAAAGTGATAATGTTGATCGGTAAGACCCAAGAACACATAAATAGAAAATAAGCAGCAGCTGGAAAATTTTCAACTTTTAAGTAAAGCTTATATTCTCAAGGAAACTCACCTATATAGCTGAAAAACCGACATTCGCCCAGCTGCTTCATTTTTTGACTGAAAACGCGATAAGAAAATGAGCTTGCGAGTCGGAAATAAAACAAGAAAAAAAAAACTACGTGGCGACCTTCTTTTTTTGTTTCCAGTTTGAAATGGAAAGTCGCTTCGCAGTCTCACACGCACACATAACACACGCGCACGACACACATAAACACACTTGCGAAAAAAAAGAAGTTTAGTGCAAAATGGGAGGCAAAAGGCTGAAGAAAAATGGGTGCTCCGATGGATGGGGCAAGGAAGAAAGGCGCCGAACGCCGCCCACTTTCCAAATCGAATAAACGACCGCCTCGGACTCAAAAAATCTCGGCTAATTGTGGAGACGTCTGCTGAATATAATTCAGCAACACAAACATGTGTGCCTTCCTTTTCCTCTTGGGCTTAAGCTTTTGGTTTTATTGGTTGGACTTTTGATTTCGGAGAAAAAAGTGGCTTTCTCGGGCAGCCACTATCTCAAAACAGTCTAATAAAATTAAGGAATAACGTTTATTTAAAAAAAGTATTAATCAGATGCAAAAAAATGAAAAATAATTTTTCAAATTTTTAAATTAAAAAAAGTACACATGAGGTGTATGCACTGTTGATAACTACAGAAATACTCAAACTTTCGAAATTTTCTCTTTTTCCCAGAATTAATTTTTTTAAGATCTTTAATCAGATTCTATCCAAACTTAGTTCCTATAGTGTAGTCCGAGTTGTTCATAGTATATCAATCGCTGTTCTTATCGATTCCGCTTGTCTGAGGGTCTTTTTCGTAACTTTTTCTTTTTTCTCAATGGCCGTTTTAGAAGTTCCCGTTGAATTCAAGACGATTTCTGGTGATGTTGTGAATCTGAGCGCATGTTACAAGGTATTATTTTCGCTTAATGAATATGTGGTCTGTGATAAATTGTACGCTTCATGTGATATTAAATGATAAAAATGTCAACCCATGGAGGTTTTTTTGCTAAAGAGTGCGATAAAGCTGTCAAAAGATCCGTACTTTTTGACATTTTTACAGCTTTTGGAGATAATTCTTGACGTCTTTATAATTTTATTTTCAGGACTGGAGACCGGTTTCGAAAGAAATCGGGACAGTTATAGCGATTCATGGCTCTCCAGGTTCTCATGGAACTTTTCGAAAGTTTGGCGATCCTCTGGCCAAATCGGGAATCCGGATGATTGCTATCAATTATCCGGGCTTTGGATGTACTCCTAGTAAATGAAATAAGTTTTACTGAGAAAAAAATAGAATTTTTAAGGCTATCCAAATCAATCCCACAGGAACGAGGAACGTATGGCTTTTATAAATGGTCTTATTAAGGCTTTGAAAATAACTGGGAAGGTAAAATAATTAGTTTTTCGAATAGAATATGCTTCAAATTGAATTTCGAATTAACGTTTTCAGATTGTATTCATGGCCCACAGCCGGGGTACTGAAGACGCTCTTTCTAACGCTGCTTTTTCGAAAGTTCGACTAATTTTTTTAACTGTTTACTTAGAAAATTATTTTTTCTCAGGCTTTCGGACTGGTCCTGATCAATCCCACTGGCTTGAAAGTTCACATAAAAAAAATCAGGCCGATCGAAAAATTGCGAGATTTTATTGCCCTGTGCAATGAAAAAGCCGGCGGAAGAACGGAATAAAAATTATTTATGATTGTTGGTTTTTTTATTAAATTTTTTTGATGGTGGGAAAATTAAGCGATTTGCTTTTTTTCAAATCACAAACTATCATACGTTTTGAACGCGTAACTTTATTTAAATAATAATTTTTTTAACTTTTTGATAAAATTTCCAAACAGAAGTTTTTTTGACCAAAAAAATAACATCGGAATATTTGTAAATCTTTTTTTCATCAACCTCAAGAAAACCTAGCAGTAGTGTTTGAAAATAGTTAAATTTTTTTGTTTGATAACAATTTTTCAGACGTCACTAAAAAAATGAAATTCGAAGTGAAGAACGGAGAAGTTGCCCACAGTTCAATATCTTCGGTCAGTACTCTGACTTTCGAGAAAAACTGCTCCGCTTATTGAGAAAAATCAATGAATTGCCGGTGATTTGAAACATTTTTTTATGTTTAAAAAAATGATTATTTTTCAGACAAAGGTAATATTTGCATATGGAGAAAAGGATCCGTTCATTGAGACGGAAATTTCTACGGAAGTCGCCGCGAAATATAACAATTTGAGCTATTTGGTGGGCTTTTTTTTACGCTTCAAAAGTACTTTTTGGTTTTTCCTGACGTCTCAAAAAAACTGTACAAAAGAAGTGGTTCACAAAAAAGCACATTAATTGAAATTTGAAGGTGATTTTTTCGAATAGGCAGATATGAAATCTGAAGAGATTGAATTTTCAGGTTTTAAAATGAAACAGATAGTTTAAGGACGCTATTTTTCACGATTCTCGAAAATATCAGAGAGATCTTAAAGTTTCATACAGAAAAGAATAGCGAAAATGGATTTCCGTATATTTCTCCACTGAATTTTGACTTTTAGGAGCTTTCTAATGATGGAAATCCTGAAGAATTCCACTCAAAAATTGATGAAGTTTTTAAAAATGGCCGAAAGGTTGTTTTCATATGTATTTCAAAAGTCAAGCTTCAATTTTCAGGGCGTTCTCTTGAATTTCGTCGACGGCGACCATTATGTCCTCAATTCGAACCCGGATTCCATCATTAAATCTGTTATTTCAATGCTTCGATATGACGAATTTGCCAATAAATTGTGACTTTTTTTTTCGAAATACCTTTTTGTTGAAGTTCCCTGGTCAGTTATTACTTTGATTTTATTAAAGTTGAAAAAAAATGATACTTTTTTGACCATGTTTTGATTTTAAGTTGTCCCTTTCACCTTTACCTGCAATTTACCTTTACCAAGATAAATCTTCAAGCAAAGGTTTTTATAGATTGAGCCAGGAGTTTTCTGATTTATTTATCGAAAAATTCAGGATTTAACCCGAATTTCTGGAAAAGGACCAGCTATATTTTTGTGCAAAAAAATGTTTGAAAGTTCTTAAAGTAACTCGGAATTTTTGGAAAACTAGTTTATAATGTAGAAATTGCCAGTTTCCGTTTTTTTCTGTGTCTGACCCGACCTTTAATTTTTCTTCTTCTATATCATAAAATGAACTGGAAAAAAAGTATCAAAAAAAGAACAAAAAAATATTTATGTAAACGTAAAGAAAAAAATCGCTCCATTTTGCTTAAAAAGTCGTCAGGAGCGACGGCTTGATCACTTATTCGTCAAACTTCAAACAATCCAAAAAATGTCTGGTGAGGGTTTTTGGAGAGTTTCAAAGATAAAATCGTGGTTGACTTCTTTTTCGATTGCTAAAATCGGATAGTATGATATTTTTCAAGCATTTTTTGAGAGTTCAGTTTTGAAAAGAAAGAGAAAGATAGGATCGATAAATTGGGGCCAAAAACTATCGGAAATTAACAGATTTCGAGTTGGCTTTTAATTTCACGTGCTTATTTTCTTGTTTTTGCCTGTTTGCATTCAAATTATTGGTCAAAAAAGTTGTTATTGTTTGAATTTGTTATTTTGAGAAATCCCTGATGATTTCTCCGATTCTTAGGACGTTTTTATAGGTCATTCCGCGCCAGCTTGTCACGATTTTAAATTTCCTCGGAGCTAAAGAACCTATTTCGGCGCTTCGCTTCGATGCTCTCGGTGTTCCCCCTTGCGTGCGCCTTTAATAAAACATTATTTCTGATTAAGATATTGCTTCAATTTCCTCTATCTCTTTTTATTAATTTACGAAGTTGTTTTTTTAATGGATTGATTTCATTTTTTTCGCTTTAACTATACACACTCAGATTCTGTGCTGGATTTGTAAAGAAAAATCAAAAAGATTGAATTATTATTTTTTTAATTGTTATTAAGGAAACCGACTGTTCGAGCCTTTCTTGCATATAATTTTTTTGGGTTAGTTTGATATAAAATTTGACGTTACAACTGTTTTTTTGTAAAATAAGAAAAATTCCAAAATTCGGAAATAATGAGTTTTATTAAAGGCACACGTCAGAGGGCACACCGAGAGCATCGAAGCGAAGCGCGGAATGACTTATAGTTCATTTCAGCAGCTCATTGAAATTTCATAGCTGAAAGATTCAATTTCTTGTAATTCATGCTGATAATTTGCCAAATAATTGCAGGTTTTGAAGAATAAACATCAATTTTTGCTTTTTTTGAAAGCCACTGAAAGACATTTTAACATTATTTTTGGATATATTTATTAATTTTTTTGGGCTACAAATCGTTTCAGAAATCCGAGGGATTCTGAAACCGCCATTCAGGCCGATTATAACTTTTCTTCTTTTTTTCGCCGGAAGAAGAAGAAGACGATGGAGTTACCATTTTGACCGTTGCATTTTCATTCGCAATTTCTAGAAATAAGTGAATTTTTATCTGAAGTGATCGAAGAGAAAGAAAAATGGTTTATTCCCTGAAAATAGAAATTTCTCTGATAAAACTCGAACTTTTTCTTATTTTTGTAGTTGGAAAGCTTCAAGCCGTGTGAAAATTGATTCCCGCGAAATTCAAAATAGTCGTCAGAGAGTGAAAAAGATCACTAAATTTCGGAGAGTCAGAGATGACGCGTCATAGTTTCCATGAAACTTATTTTCTAAACGAAGAAACAGTAAAACAAATGTTCAAGTTGAATATTTTGTTATTCGAAGATTCGAAAATCCCAAAAATTGTTTGAATTGAATTTTTGAAGGCCACGGAGCATGGAAGCCTCGGAGAGACTTCAAGAAGCCATGTATGATATAAAACATAAAGTGAGTTTGAAAAAAAAAGCTTTCGATTGGAATATATGTAGTTCCGAATGATTTTCCGTAAGTAAATTTTGAGAAAATGTGGATAATTTGAAGATTTTTGTCGTTTTTTTTAAATCGTACGTGTCAAAAGTTGCATAAGATTTGAAAATGTTTTGTTTTGCGGGAACTTAAATCGAGTTTTCATAGAAAGGTATCATTTTAGAAAGAACACGCATACTTTTCTGCTCAATTTGGTATTAGGTGCTCGAACTTTAGAAAATTCTAGTCTGGGCTATGATTTTTGAGATGAGATAAAGTATTGAAATTTATGCTTTTTTCAGATTTTATAGGAATTTTTTGCAGGCCCCTTAAGGGATCGCAGGATCTAAGAAAATGAAGAAGCATTTTTTGAGCTTTTTTGCTTTAAGTAAATAAATTATGATTTTTGACCTACAGCTTGAGTTAAAATTTTTCAAAAGTTTGAGCATTTTGACGAATTTTCAGCAATTTTCCTAGTAAAGATCTTCTAGGCCAACTTCAAGTACGACGAATGGGCGAACCCGGCCCTCGGCTGTGTCTCGAAATATCCCGGTGCTCATGTGCCGACCTCGGCCAAGTTTTCTCTCGAGGCGATCGAAAAAGAGGAAGACATCTCGCGGTCGAAATCGTTCTCCAACTCGGGGTCCAAGTCGAGGTCGAAGTCGGGCTCCGGGAACGGCTCGACGGCCGGATCACGTCGCAGCGAAACTGGTCTCGCCGAATCTGCCGGAAATACGCCCTATCGTCGGAAAACGCCGGAGAAGGCGTCGAGGTGAGGCGGAAGGGGTCGCTTGAGGGTTTGGTGTTTTTAGACCTGTCTGTGAATGTGTAGGCGTTGGGAAAAGCTTTAGTGGCCACCTAGGGTTTTGACATTTTAGTGGGCACTATAGTAATGGAATTGGCCACACCGACGTTTAAGTGATCACTATAGGAGTGGAAGTGGCCACTTAAGAGGCTAAATTTTAGTGGCCTCTTTAGTGGTGGACTCCAGGATTCAGACGTCTTAGTGGCCACTACAGTAGTCGAATTAGTGACCCTTTAAGAGGCTAAACTTAAGTGGCCTCTTTAGAGATAGACTTCAGGGCCTAGACTTTACCAAGTGGTCCTTGAGCAACCTCTTAAGTGATCACTAAGGTTTTTCACAGCACCCAAGAGATTTAACTCTACTGAAAAAAGTCATTATCAAAAAAAAAGAAGTAAGTGGCCACTTTAGAAGAAAAATTGGGGCGATAAATTGAGAATTCTGGCTTTTGTAATGATATGAAGAGAACTGAAAAGGAGTTTTCAATTTTAAGTGGAATTCCAAGAGATCACTTTAGGGTTTCTTTTTTGAACAGAGGGGAATCAGGCTGAGAAGAGCTAGTAGCCACTTAAGGGCTCCTCAGTTTTTCCCACTGAGAAAATTCCCAGGGATCACTTAAGGTTTTCAATCTTTGATGTGGTCTCTTAAGCATCAGGAAGCCGGTTTAGAGGTCTCAAGCTTTCAAATTAAGAAGTTACAATACAATACAATACAATATTTATTGGTTGTTTTAGTCAGATGGTATCGACTAGGCGGTGAAAAAATTGCTCTTTTGAGCGGCACTAACACCGCCTTTGGCGAAAAAGAAGTCAAAACGTGTAGTCGATTGAATTGAAAGCATGATCTTACGGTCCTTCGCCTCGTTCTTCCACAAGTTGATCCCTCAGTTTCGCTTGTACGGGCACGGCGGTGATGGTCGGGCTCGGGCACGGACTCCGTGCCCGAGCAGTTCAGAAACTTTTTTTCAACATTTTTAATGACTAGTTGGTGCAATTATGTTTCCCCCTTCAAAGGATAATGAAATGTCTCTTAAATGACCACTTGAACTTTCCTCTGCTAGATAGTTTCATAGGGTCTTGGGAGCTGAAAGTCATCAGACACTACGAAGCCCTTGAGGGATCACTTAAGATTTTTTCAGAGTTATTCAAGCAAAATTTTGTTCCCTACAGCTTGCCGTCGACCAAAAAGCTCTCGCAGATGCTCTGGGATCGCCTCGAGGCCCACCAAAAGTATAGGTCGAAAGAGAGCAGCGAAAGATCTCTGTCGGACACATCCTGCGACTCCTGTGCAAATGTCCGTCTGGCGCCGCTCAACTGGGACGAGGCCAAGTTGATCCGAGAGCCGTCCTCCAAGAACTTGTCGGCCAAGTCGTCCAGCTCCTATGAGCCCATCCAACCTGCAAAGAGCAGCGTGAGGCTTCTAAAAGTCGCATGCGGAATGGCTCAGCGCGTCGCGGTCGCGCTGCGGTTCGAGTTGAAAACAAAAATCTTGCACCAAGGCCGGTAACTCAGATTGAGAGTTCTGGATGAGATTGGGTTAGACATATTCAGATTTTCGCCCTGATTTCGAATTTGGGCTTGAGAATTATCGAGGCGGGGTAAGAAGGCTGAGAAAACGTAGGTACTAGAAAAATTGAAAAAAAATAGAAGGAGCTCATTTTTTGAAGATAGATAGAGCTACGAATCCCGGAAACTTGTAATGTTTTGGCAGTTTTTTTAAAAATCTGTTCGGACGTAACTTTATATTCAAACTTTTTTGGTATTTTCTAAACTTTGTTTCAAAATAACTTCGAAAAAAACGATATTCATTGTTCCAAGTCTCATCCAGAAGTCTCAGAGATCATTCCCTGATAGGGATTCCCAGTGCCAAACGGCGTAAGTCGCTTTGTGGTCTGGCGCAATGTCGCAACGCGTTGAGCCATTCTACATGCGGCTATCCTTGATTCCCCATCAAAATGAACTATTTCCAGTTCGCCCAAGCTCTTATCGAGGTCTACTACAAGCGTGCTTCGGATAAAAGTGTAGGAAAAACAATTTATCAAAAAAGAAGGGGAAATTCATTTAGGCTCGCACAAAAGTCGTCCTCCTCGAGACGCCCATCAGCAATACGCTCGAAGAGCTCATGGTGTTGGCGTTGGAGAAATGTGCTTCCGTTGAAATGTTAGATTTTTTTTTGGCCATGGATTAACCAGAATTTTCATGACATCAATGCAATCATCATTAAAAAGATCTTGGAAAAAACAGAATTTTAGCTCGTATTTTTTTCGCCTGAACGTTTTTTAAGCTGCACTGGTCGATCGAGAGGTCGATACAAGTAGATACCGGGTAGCAACTCAAGTGAATCGGCGAATGGTAATCGGTGGTCATTTGTATGCGACCGGGTACTATCTCTATGGTACCTGGATAGTACCTGATCGGTATCTGGATGCTACCGGGTAGCTACCCGAAAATCGCGATTGCTACTAGCTGGCACATCGGTCGTTTATTTAGCCCCCGTGTTTTTTTCAAACCTTCCCAAGTCTTCCAGGGGTCTTATTGGATAATGCTGAAACAAAAATTAACCACCTGGGAAGCAATTCCAGACTTATCGGTAGCAGTCGCGTATTTCAGGTATCTACCCGGTAGCATCCAGATACCGAACAGGTACTATCCAGGTACAATATAGATAGTACCCGGTCGCATACAAACGACCACCGATTAGCATACGCCGATTGACTTTTTCAAAAGTTGCTACCCGGTACCTAGTTGTATCGACCTCGCGATTCCCCTTTGTGAAAGGTTTGATAAATTACTATCTCTTTGTTTTTTTGGAGCCGAAATGGTGACCCCTCAGGCGTCAAAACTGATTTTTATTCATTTCCTACAGTTTTGGGTTTCAAAAGCCTTTCACTCTCTTTTTCTTTTTTTTATTCAAAAATCATAACTGCTTTCATTTATGAAAGTTATTGATTTTGATAAATTCCTTGGTAACCCCAAATAACATCGACTTTTTTGTCTTAGTTTAGCGGTGAATGGATGACCCAATCTTGAATTTTGATTTATGAACCGATTTTCCAAAAATTGAACGAGTATTGATCAATAAGTTCCAGAGGGCCCGTTCGTCATGCCGGGATTTACTGTGGTCGGAAATCCAATTCCGATTTGGTCGCGATTCCTCCGTTCGTTTATTTTTCCTCTTTCTACAAAGATTTATGCAAGAATTTATACAGGACTGAGGCCAAAGTGACCCTGGAGACTTTCCTGAAAGACTCGCCGGCTGGAAAAACGGCCGAATTTACTCTCGACACGGTGGCGTACTTCAAAAAGGTGTCTCTTGAAAAAAAATGAATCAAAACAAAAAAATTGGTAATTGAAGGTGAACTGCGAGGGTTGGGACTTGATTAAGAGAAGGAATGCGCCGGACCTCACTCCGCCTTGATTTTCTTCCATTTTCGGACTTTTTTTTGTGGAGGGTAAAGATTTACTATTTCAAGGGGCTTGAAAGGATGGAAGTTATTGGAAAATCAACTGAATTTTGGGAGATTTTCCATGGATTCTTATCAGATTTTTGCTGTTTTTGGAAGCAACATTTTCGAATTTTTTCGGCTTCTGTTGTGATTTCTATGATTTTTCACTTGATTTTCGATATTTTTTTGGTTCTGGTAATGTTTTCTACTTGAGTATCTTTCTTTTCTTTTTCCGCGAAATTCACCAACAAAAATAATCTTCATTCCATTTGTTATACCACGTAGATCAAACACCCGCATCCTCCAATAACTTAAAAATCAGTAAGAATCATCGCTTGAAGCCGATCTCCTTGGACACGACGAACGGATCGAGGTCGGCCTTGCTTAAAGCGTCGACGAACCCGCCGACGGCGAAAGTCTCGTTGAAGACTCGGAGCGTGGCGTAGCCGTAGTTGCCCAACTGCTTCAGCGAGTAAGGCTGCTGGATCGTCTCGTTGGGAAAGATGTGGTCGTGGCAGCCCTGAAGGATGAATTTGAGAGGGTTGCGAGAGGTTTTTAGGTGCTTCTTGTTGTTCTGAAAAGCAAGAAGGGATATATTTATACATTCATGTAATTTGAGAGTTTTTTCAAGTTGGGGGAAAAAAAATTATTAGATTCTTTAAGGTTTCGATAATTGAGAAATGCTTCATAAGAAAGAAAAAAACGGCTAGTGAAATGTTTAAACCTAGAGAATTTGATTTTTATGGCTTCTGCGCCCTAGGTGGATCTCCTTCCAAGTGAAGCTAATTTTGAGCCAATGTGAAAAAGGAGTTTCTGATGTCCGAAAAGTTTTGAGCTCGTAGTAAAGTTTGGAAAGTTTTTAGTGATCATCTTGAACGTTGAACGGAATTTTTGAATAAAGGCTGAAAAGTTAGAAACAAACCCCAGTGCCAGCCATCACGTAGATCGGCGCCGGAGCGTTGTGGAAGCTGTTAGGATCTCCGGTTTTGAAAGGATCTCCCTTGACCATCGGCCAGAACCGTTCGTAGGTGTGCTTGTGAGCGTAGTAGATGAAGTCGACGCCTTCTTTGTCAAACAGTTTCTCCAGGCCTGGGAATCCTGGAGCTCCTTCTCGGGTCTAAAAGTAGCTTCTTTAAGCTTGAGGTCAAGTTGAAACTTCTGTTTTTGACTTTCAGAGACGGTTCTAACGGTTTATAGTTCTTATCTTATCCAACTCCGGTGGAGATTTATGGGTTTTCGTCAAAGAAGACTTACTATAGTATCTTCCTGGTTGTGACAGCCCTTCTTGGAGTCGTTCGAGCAGTACATTGGCCGATGCATCATCACAACCGTCCATTTCCCCTTGTTCTGAAGAGAAAGGTCATTTGGTTCATTCATGAAACATTTTTAGGCCATAGAACTAAAAAAAAAAGTCACTTTTTTGGTTTTATTCAAAGGGGAACTTAAGAGGCGCAAAACCCCTTTAAGGGTCACTCAGTTGCTCAGAAAAAAAACCTGACCCTTTTCCAAGGCGTATAAGAGGTCTGAGGCCTATACAAGTGAACTGTTAAGGCTTAAAAAGCTTTCTTACATTCTTCAAGTCAGCCTCGAGCCAGTTGTACTGTTCCTCAGCCTTAGTGGAATCTGCTTCGGCGTAGAATTCGGTGTTTAGAGCGATAATGTGCGTGTTACCGTAGTCCAGACTGAACTTCCAAGCTTCCTCGTGAAGAACAGAATTTTCCTCTACCTCCAATATCTGCCGTGATTCTCCCCATTTTCCGGAGTTGAAAAGCGATTCTTGTAGTGGAGGTACTTTTGGGCGGTGTCGTGGTTGCCGGGAAGCACCATGAATGGTACGATCGAAGTGTACGGCTCGATGGCGTTCATGAAGTCGTCGCCGGTGTCGCCGTTCTTGTCGTCCAGGTCGTAGGCGAAGTCTCCTGAAGGTTGGAAAGTGGGTTTTGAGGTGGAGAAACGAGCTTGAGATCTTCAGAAGGGAGCCCTTTGGTTCTATCCTTGTTGTTGATCCCTAAAGTAAGATCTAGTCAGAATAGGCTGTGAAGAAGTAGAGGAGAGATAGCATTAAAATGAGTTTGTTAAGTAGTAAGGATGTGAGTGTAGTTAAAAAGTTAGACTCTCATGTCACACTCCATTCGAATTGAAGAATATACAGAACATTTTCGATTCACTAACCCATGTGAAAAATGACGTCGATCTCCCCATTGGTGGCCGCTTCGATAAGCGGCTGGATACTGTAGCCGTTGAGAATGGACATGTCCCCATAAATGGCGGCGCGGAGCGGCTTGGATTGGTCAGGCTGGATGAAGCTGAACGTCTTGGACATCTCCTCGGCGCTTCCGACGGTGTAGTCTGGACTTTTAGGTTCATTAGGCACGCGGTTAGGTAGGCAAAATTGAGCAGGATTAGAGTGAGAACGTTCTTTTTTCTGTTTAGAAGCTACTGGAGGGGGTTTTAGTTAGGCTAATGTAGAAGAAACAGGTTTCTAGGTTGGCACTAATCCTTTAGATGAAAGCTAACAAAATAGTTGACCATAGATGATCAAGAAAGGTCAAACTCACAGTATCTAGTGCCAGGCTTGAGGTCGGTGAAGGTGGTTCGATAAGTGTAGCGAGTCTTCGCCTTCTTCCCGCCGTCTTCCCATTTTGTTGTTGAAGCCTTGACGGTTGAGGTGAGCTGACCAGTGGAGGTGCCGTACATGGCAAATGGGATCACGTTGGGCACTGGAAAATAGAGTTTTTGAGAAAATTCACAATAAAAAAGGTTTCCTTGTGGAGTTATGTTAGTGGAATATAAGAATTTTAATTTGTGTAGCTAGAGCTTGAAGTTTTGTCGAGAAGACCAGACTTGTTCAAATTGGTTTTTACACATCTTACGATCTTTAACTAGTCTACCTGAAGCTTGAAGTTTTGCTACTTAGATTTTTATGACCGTTTGAGGTTAATAAGGTTGGGGTTGTAGCTTGAGATTGAATTTCTCCCTAGCAATTCGAGTTTTGATCTAATTAAGGGTTCTAATGTTTTGAAAAGTCTTTGAGTTATAGTGGTGGCACTGGAATAGTTCACACCGAAGATTTTGGACCTTCCCGAAAAACTAGAAAAACTTACAAGGATGCTCGGTGAGCCAGGTGACGACCATGTGATCTGGCGAGTTGTCCAGGCTTAAGTGTACCTGCTGGACCTTGTTGCCCTCGGTTAGAACCCCTAGGGAGGCTAGCAGAAGTGTCAAGGCAAGCATGAGTGGTCCTGGAAGTAGTTGGTATGAATTTGAAATGGGAAAGGACAAGAAAAGCGAGAACTTATGGGAAAATCGTCTCATCGGGATCGACTTGACATGGAAAATCGGCTCCAGAGTTTCAAAGTCTAATGGGGTTTTGAAAGTTTCTATAAAGCTACGAGTATCATTTAGGTTTTCTCAAGCTTATATTTGGGTTTTTCAATTCTTGAGAAGGCCTAGTTCAATTGACGGAGGTTTAAAGAAGTTCGCTTCAAATTAAATAAATTGGGACTCGTAAAATGTTTTTTTCTACATTTTTTGAAGCTCATACCAGTTTTTCTGTAGTCGATGACCTGAGCATAGTTTCGAAGGGTATTAGGCCAAAAAAAAAATGAACATAATTTCAAAAGGTGCAGCTAGGTCAAAAAAGGCTTTGGGAAGCTCAAGAGGAACCAAATACAACTCAAGATTTTGAAATAGTTCTACTAAGACTTTTTCTAAAGATTTGAAGTTCTAAAGAAGAAAAAAGAATCAAATGACCAAGATGAGAAGACTATACACCGGCAGAATAATGAACCTCGAAATTTGATAATGAGACAAAAATTTTCGAAGCTACAACCCCCGATGTGCTTATAATCCCACCTTATCACTGGAATATGACGCGTTTTTGATGCATTTCCCTTATCAATTCGGGTTGAGAACCACGGTTGATATCCTAAAAATGAACGGCCAAGGAATTCTTAGCATGTTGTCGACGACAAATTGCGGAAAACCGCTGAAAATAGCTACTTGGTACAGTAAGAACGAACTGATAAGGGGTTTTTGACAGCGTCAATGTGTGTACTTTGGTTGTTGGAGAGGATTGTAGGTAAACATCCGCATTCTGAAGATTGAAGGGGGAACTTATTGGGAAGGCTTTGCGATTAGGAATTTCTTGAATTTAGTCAGAAAATGTACCAGAAGAAGGTCCTGAAAGTCTCAACCTGCAAAACTTCTTGGTTTTTGAAAAATGAGGGTTCGAATTCCAAAATTAGTTCGTTTTTACGGATTTTGATGGTTTTCTTCGACTTCGAGGTGTCCTTTCTCAAAAACTAGGGGCTTCTGCAGATTGAGACTTTCAAAATCTGTTTTTGGTACATCAAGGAGTGTTCTGGCCAAACTTCAGGAAAAGCCTAACTACAAGGTGAACTGACCTTTCTTGTAAGGAAGAAGTTGGGAGAAGATCTTTTATTGAAAAGCCTGCAGGAAAGGTCCTTTCTGTTGGAAAGAAGAGTTTCAAGGTAGCATCCGCACTATTGAAGTTGGAGTTGAAAGGTTCAGGTTAAAGTTGTTGAGGTCTTACTGTACCCTTTTTTGGGAAAAGGTCATTTTTACGTGTCGAAATATAGCTTCTTCAAAAATAGAAACTTTTTGTTCTGTCAGTTTTGTTGCCAAGATAAGAACGTCATTTTTTTGGTCCGATTGATAAAAAAGTATTTTATTGTGCGGAAATGGAGACAGATGATAACAAGGCTTGCATTTGAAATAATACAGAAAATAGGATTTTTCGGACAGTGGAGCATTGATTCACTTGGTTCTGCTAGAGTTTTTTGGAGGGTTCAACTTGAATTTTTTATTTTATTTGAGCCCTTCAAACGGGACGCGTCAAAGCGCAACAGGTTGTGTGCCTGTCTACGGTCCACAGGGTCACAAGTTCGGTCCCCGCCCTGACCCAACCAAGGGGTTTAAGAAATGTTGGTAGTGGGAAACCACGGCTTCCTAACCCCCAGCTGTCACACACAAGGACGGATATGTCACTCGTCCACTGATTATGTCAGATATCAGGATAGGACCTCGGCTAATCGACTTGGGGTGCCGACGCCGCTCAGGCGGTACAAAGGCGTAGGAAGAAGAAGAAGAAGAACATTTGAGCACTTCAAACACCTCGGAAAGCTATTCTTCGTTCTGAATCAATAAAAGGTTTCTCGGAAACCAATGAAAGACCAAGAATCGCCGATTACCCAACTTATTATACTCGATCCTTGTACCCGAGTACTCGATTAGTTGATCCGTTAATCCATCGAGATGTAGTGGTCCGGTGGCCGAAACAATGGCGCTGCCGTGTCATATAATCCCGACAGCTGCACGACCTCGCCTCACTTGGATGACCCGTGCCGCGCTGCTTCCGACGCCAGAAGTTTCTTAAACCTTCCGTCGCCTTGTTCCTCACTTTGCTTGTCCTTCTTTTGGTTTCTGTGGGCTTTAGGCTTGTTTCGGGGGAGTTTGGGAGATTTGAACTTGTGAAATTTTTCTCACTTGGACGACCCACCAAGTCTTTTTTTATCCTTCTTTTGGTTTCTGTGGGCTTCGAGCTTGTGCTAAAAACTCCGGTAGTTTGAACTACTGAAGCTTTTTTTGGCGAATATTCTTCCTATTTTTCTTGTCCTCTTTCAAGCAAACGGGTTGACCGGTTCGATATTTCTTAAAATGGTCGCTTTGCTTCTTTTTCTAGTTCTTTTTAAAGTTTGAGTGGGTTAGTTAGAATTTTCTTGGAGCTTTTTTTGCATGTTGAGGTACCTCTAGTTTAATCGGTTGAGGGGCCTTCATTCGAGACTTTTTCCGGAATTTCTAGGGCTTGATTTTTCTCACCCGGACGACCCACCACGCTTTTTCTTATCCTTCTGGTTTCAGTGGGCTTTGAGCTTGTAATGGTAAGTTTTGGTTGAAACCTAACTAGGGAACTACTCGAACTCGTAATCGCGTATCGAGTTCAAACTTTAATGGTTTATAGACCTAAGTGAGAATACTTGAAAACAAGTGAGAATAACTGCTAAACCCAATAAAGAACTGAGAAAAAAATAGTAGAAAATGTGAAAATTAGGCCTGAAAATTTTCAGAATACTTCTTTTTACCTTATTTTATATTGTAATACAATCGCCTTGAATGATCCGGCTATGATAAACTCTAAAAAACTTTTTCCAGCCAAAAGAAGGAGGAAAGCAAAATTTTGATAATTTCCAACCCTAAACTGTCCATTTTCAAAAAGATTTTTCTCAGAAGCCTATGGGGTTTAGCAGATAATCTCTCTTGTTTCCAAGTACTCTTACCCGGGTCTATTAGCCACCAAATTTTCAACTCGAAACGCGTACCCGAGTCCGAGTAGTTCCCTAGTAAGCGATTTTTTGGTAAAGCTGGCGCTTACTTGTGGCTCCCGACATCAGGAGTTTCTCAAACCGTTTTTTTCCCTGACTTGCTCCTCACTTTTCTCGTCCTTCTTTTAGTTTCAATAAGGCTTTTAATTTTTTTCAGTAAAGGTCTGTGTGGAAACAAGAAAACCGTCCGGAGTCAAAAATTTTGTCATCCGATTTTGCATTCTGATGTGTAGGGTTGAATTCAAATGTGGAAAACAAGATTTTTGGTAAATTATTTCTTCGACAAACTCAGCCTCTTCATTTGACCGCTTTTCAGTAGATAGGATGTTTTATCGATGATAAAAAGAGAATTTTTTTGAAGTTTTCCATTGATTTTTGAAGCTACGAACACTATCTTTTCTCCTTCATACGTAGAGTTCCGTGGGAAATAAGTGAAGGATTGGCGTACGGCTCATTGGAGCCGCTTCCGGAGAACCAAGCCGAGAAATTCTTGGCTCTACTAGTAGATTCTCAGATTCTCTTGGTTATTAGTTTCGACATTTTGAATCTTTCTGAGATTTGTAGTATTTTTGATCTTGAAAACTTCAAAAAACGGATATTTTTGAGAAAATCTTCAAATTCTCATGAGCAGTTACGTTTCTAGAATCAACAGAGAAACCTTGTGATTTTTAAAAAACCACAAGATGTTCTTTCAAGGGATTTTTCCGCTTATTCACTAGTAAATTGTGAAGTTCACTTGTTTTTTGGAATTTCCAACCAAGAACTCGAAGAATTTCCTCGTGGCACTTTGAGTAAGTGTTTCTGGGACGGAAAATTGCTTTCCCCTCTCTCCACGAGGCTTATTGTTTCTAATTGCAAGAAAAAAAGCGTGCCGCTCTTCTTTCCCAAGCATTTTGTCCTTTTTTATCTTTTTTCCTTCATTTTTCAGATTTTTCAAGTGAGTTTAGAGCTTCCAATAGAGTTGTAAGCCTGAGTTTTTTATAGAAATCGGAAAAATTCGCGAGTTTTCATGAGTTTTTTGCTTTTTTTTCGCGATTTTCTAGAGCTAAAAGTAGTATTTTCAGGTTTTCAAGGAAGCCACAAGCTTTAGTTTTTGATATAAGTTGAGAAAATAAGAAATTCCCATCGATTAGTCTAAACTTCCCATGGAAATGTGTGAACGAACTTTTTGAAATCGCTTTTTTTCAATTTTTCAAAAAAATTATTTTCAAAAATTTCAATTTCAATTTTTTTCGAAATTTCCAACGGTTTTTTTAAACTTTTAATGAGAATTTTAAGGTTGAAAATCTGTTTTTTTAAAAAAAGTTAGAAGCTTTTTTTAGAAGATAAGATTCGAAAATATTATCAACCTTTAATAGAAATGTTATGATACGTTTCAAATTTACTTTTAAAAAAATGAAAGGGCTTCTTTAAATATAATGTTGTTTGTTGGTTGTTGTTTCCAAGTTATCTAGAATCGTTTTTCAGTTTTAATGTTTTAACTCCTTCCGAAGGTTTTGTCCTGTTTTCATCTTTTTTTTTTCATTTCTCTAACTTTTCCTGGTTTTTGAGATTTTTTTTGGAGTTCTAGTGTAGTTGGAAGCTTAAATATGGAATAGAAATCAAGAAAATTTTATAGTTTTCATTGGTTTTCGTTTCTTTTTGCGATATCCTTGAATTAAAAAAAAAGTGAATTTTATGTTTTTGGGAAAGTTAGAAGCTTCAGTTTGTTGTATAACTTGATAAAATGAGAAATTTTCACTGATAAGTTTAAATTTGCTTATTTTGAACAAAATGCCATGTAAAAAAGCTTTGAATGGAGCAAAAAATATGAGAATGTGAAATTTCACTCTAGATTGAAAAAAAAGGTGTATTCTAGAAATTCACGATGGCTTTAAAGGCGATTTCCATGCTAAAAAAAACAAATTAGAAGGCAATAAATGCTTCGAATTTCCTGAAAAAGGATATTTAAATCATTTGGAACGCTTTTTGTTGTTATTCTCAGGGAATTTTCGGATTTTTAGCAATAAATTTATCCTAAGTTTGTTTTTGGCCTGTTTTGAAAGGCTTATGAGCACATAAGATAGGGAGTTTGAATTCAGGATTTTGGAAAAAAAAAAATTAATGGTGTAGAAAAATTTCAAG